TGAAAGTTCCAGAAGACTGAATATTGAAACAAAATATTAAAATTACAGAAGTTCGTTAGTGACTGAAACAAACTCCTCGTAATGGGAATGATTACTTCAAAAAATTTCTAAAAGGAAAAGTTCATGCAAACTAAATTTGATTGATAATTGTTTAATTACAAATGGTTCCTTAATGATTTTAGAACTACTTTTTTGTTTGTAAAGAACAAATGAAAAAAAATTTAGAAGCTATCTCATGGGAATTTGCAATAAAAGTAGAACATTCATGCAATTTTTTGGGACCAGAAGTAGGAAGAAATAATACTAAAACAATCAGGTTGTTTGGTAGATGGTATTGAGAAATATTGGTTGACTGAGAGCAAGGGAGCAAGTACTTTAATAAGATTTAGAATCAACAGTATGTAATGAAAAGAAAAAAGATAATTTCCCTTTTGGAGAAGCAAGTGGTGCATATGGAAAATCCAAGTATGAAAGATACTGAAAGTGCAAAAATCTCTAGGTATCTCAAAGGTAATTCACAGCTATTTGGCTCTTCATTATGAATGTTTGGAATGTTGTTTTACTTCAATGGAAAATGTTGAAATTTTCTGTGATGTGGATTATGCAGGTAATGAATAATTTGCAGAAACTCTATTGTATATGTTATTTGTGAAGGAGAGGGACCATCTGTTGGTCTTAAGGTCTCCAGTTGTGTTAAAGAATTTATGTATTTTTTAAAAAAAGAATCTTTTTAGGAGAAGTAACCATTAAAACTGTTATAATTAATTTAAATGCTGATAATCAAAGTATAATTAAACAAAGAGTGGAATTTTGGGTAGTCTATATTTTTCGGTACCCTTGGATTATCGCCAAGTTGTTTCATTTAACCTGAGTATTTTACAGTATATGTTTTGGAAAGCCTATTATGATGCCGTGATTGTGCTGATTTTTATCATTTATGAGAATATTTCTCAGGTCTTATATCATCTGCGTTTGGTGTTGGTTAGGAAGTACATTACTTATTTTGTGCTTTACACCACAAAATTGCTGCTGGTGGTAATATTAATTTAAGGATTCGGAAATCAGAGCTGATGTGAACACTATGGAAGGTATATGGGGTGTAATAAAAATGGATTTTCAAAAGAAATGCCACCAACAGTCCACCACTGCGAAGGATATTTTTGATTCTTACTTTTGTAAATTTATGTGGTGATGGTTCTAGCTCAGATAATTTTAAACAGTTTTTGGATGCAGTTAAGGAATTCTGTTTTCCACAGAAAGGCACAGAAATTTCTAAATATGGTAAATATTGTTTCTAAATATGGTATTTTTTTGTACTGCACAGATTAGATAACAAGGTGTTTCCATTTTTATGTTATTTCCTTGTTTTGTTTTGATTTAAAATTCAGTTTATTGAGATAATTTTTTTTATGTTTTAATTATATTTTATTGCTTTATACAGGACTAGCATAAATGGTTCATTTATTTTGAAAAAGCTATAGTTTGAAAAGTATTACACATACACACACATGAAAGATATATGAAAAGAATCACGAGTTCCCCAAGTTTATACACCCTGTACAAATATTCAATATGTGCCCTTCTGGTGACACGACACATGTCCAGATGATAATCAAGCTCATTCCATACATTTTATAGCATAGTCCTGTTATTTGTCTGCACTGCAGCATTGATGTGTTCTTTGAGCTCGACTAAGGATTTCAGTAGTGGGGGTACATAAACAAGTTCCTTAATGTACCTCCACAGGAAGAAGTCGCAGGGCGTTAAATCAGGGTATATGACACGAGAGGCCAGGGAAACAAAGCTAGGTCATTCTAACCAATATGCGCAATCCAGTGATGCAGAAATTCATCCTTTAAGTAGTTACGAACTGGGACGTGCCAATGAGAGAGTCAAAATCCCTGATATCAGCACTGAGTTGCGGGAGCAACCACAACTGCAACATATCCACGTAACATGTATCATTTTGCTCAGTTTGCTCAGCGAAGAGAAATGGCCCATACATCTTTGTGACACTGCGCAGAAAACATTCACTTTTAGCAAATCTGTTTCAGCTTTCACGACTACGTATGGATTTTCTGTGCTACAGAATTGTATATTATGACGATTCAGGTTCCTGGGTAAGTGGAGCATTGCTTCATTGCTGAATATCAACTTGGCGGTGAAATCTTCATCCTCCAATGCTTCCTGCATGCTGACACAAAAATCTAGTTGACAGGGCACAACCTTCTAACCTTAATTGTTGCAGGAGCTGCACACAGTACGGTTTGAAATACAACCCTTGATGCAAAATCTTCTACACTGTTTTTTGCAGTATTCCAAGTTCACAGCTTGCTTGGGACAGAATGCAAAAACAAGGACCACTGTTCCATGTTCCTCTTAGGGCCTGCCATATTGGGGTGTGTGTCTCTAAGCTTCTTAGAGCCCTTCAACGGCGGCGCAGACCCCCACAGTCCCTGCCCGGCTTTATGCAAAGCATAAGACAAGGTAGAAAATGCTTGACAAATTTTGAACGCTGTGATTTCTTTTCCTCCGGGCACCACTCCATTGGCATCGATTCTTCGTATTGGTGCCTTGTCCACTCTGTCAGTCACCATCATTGGAACTGAGGGGGCCAACCCCCCCTGATGAAGGTGATCTGTGATCTAGCTCCACAACAGCCGAAGGAACGGACACGACAGAACTAGTACAGTCCCTGCCAAGCCCGAACCTGCCTTAGAATGAACTAAGGTTTTGCGTGTAGAGTCCTGTAAAGTCAACTTATACGCCCCATGGTCAAGACTGCCTAAGTACAGATCCTAGCCAGTACTTCCCAGGAATTCTTGTGAGTCAACCCCTGGGGGGGGAGCTTGCTTGGGATGTTGATTTTTTTTTGACCATTCAGGAAACTATCCCTCACTCTCTCCACTGTTTATTACAGAACTTTTGGTTGCCCAGTGCTTTTCCCTTTACACAAGCAACCAGTGTTCTTGAATTGCTGGTACCACCGTAAAATGCATTGTTTACATCGCAGTTCTTTTCCATACTCTCTTCTGAAAGCACATTGCACAGCTGTAACAAACATCTGGCATATTCAAGTACACAAAAACGTTTTACTTTCTTTCCTTCCGTTTTCGACTGGTACGAGGCACTACGAGGTACCAACCTCGTACTGCCCCACCATATCGGAAAGATAATAAACTTGCGCTGCCACCTGGGTTACTCAGTACAAACTTGGTGAGTTTGTGGTTCTTTTCGTATATCTTTCTTGAGTATACGTGTAATATTTTGAAAATACAGCCTTTTTAAAATGAATCAATCATTTATGATTCCCCTGTTTCATAAATGATTCATTCCTGTATTTTGGATGGTATGTTTGGTTGGTATGTTCCCTGTATTTTGGATGCTATTTTACTTGGGATCATTGCCAATTTTCACCAAGAGGTACCCTCAAATGTATTTTTCCCGGAATTTTTGATAGAAGTAAACATAATCAAGTAAGGTATTTTTTGATGGAAATAAATCAGAGAAAGTAATAATAATTTAGTTTTTGTATCTTCTGTGAGTGAGTGAGTGAGTTTTGTATCTTCTGATGAGAATATTGTCTGATGTGTTTGTAAAATTGTTGTATGAATTGAAAGCTAATAAATTTCAGAATTATTTGGTGTATTAGAAATTTTACCAGTTTTAATAGTAAATATTTTGCTAACTCAGAAGTATTAAAATATTATAATAAGCTGTATAATAAAAACTATAAATAACTTTTTGGTATGGTTGTTTAAATCAAAATTTTGGTATGGTTGTTGAGGGGCAATTTTTTTCTGATTTTTTGTGAGTAGCAGTTTATAAAATATTTCTCCTGCCTTCGTGGTGTAGTGGTCAGCATGCTCGGCGCATATTCGAGAGGTCCCTGGTTCGAGTCCCGGTGATGGCATTGCTCATTTTTCATGTCTCTTGCTTAGAAATAACCTGATGTCTCTGCAGTAGCACCCAAACTAAAAAGGGTAGTGGATGATGTTTCTGCAACACCAAGATTTAGCGATGGGGTCCTCTAATCCCCAGTTGCCCCTTAAAATTGGGAATATATAAGGTATTTCACCAGCCTTCTTACCATTCTTTTGTGGTGTAATGGGCAGCATGCTCGTCGGGTATTTGAGAGGTCCGAGGTTAGAGTCCTGATGAGGGCATTGCTAATTTTTCAGCTCTTCTGCTTTAAAAATATACCAAATGTCTCTACAAGTTAATTAACTAGTTTCTTTCAGTTATGTTTTCTAACTTGATTTGTGGCCTGAAATGAAAACATAACATTTTTGGGAGGAGGGGCTACATGTGAAACATAACCTGTCATAAAGAAAAGAGGCTATCATATGTTAACTCTTTCTTCAAACCATTAACACATTATATAGTCTGAATGTAACTGTAGCACTACCATTTTGATGAAACATTTTGACTGAAATTATGTGTTCTAGCTTCATTACCTGGTATGATGAACCATATTAAATTATTTCGACAACAGTTGGAGTCAGATTTGTAGCAAAAGCATGGTTTCTGCTAATATGTGTAAATTTTTATCTAAATGGTGTCATACGAAAGAAACATGTGAACCATATTCTTTTTTTTCTTCTTAAATCTCTTCCACATGATCTGAATCGCAATGAAAAAGATTCATTTCATTTTGTATGTTACTGTGCATTTAAATGTAACCTTCAGCAATTCAGTAAGATGTGGTAATTTGATTTTGTTGCTTTTTTTTAAAATCTAAACCAGTAGAAGTATTTTAAATCCTTCAATTAATAATCTTTTTCTGCATTATTTAGTGCAGAGTACATAAATATACATGTGGGTATTTCAACGTAACAAAGTTCTGCAGATTAAAAAAAAATTTAGTGATTCTTAGCTAGAAAATTGCTGATTGATGTTTTAAAACTCGCAGTTTGTAGAATAGAAATATATATGAATTATTAGAAATATGCTTTGTGTGAATTTGAAAGTTTTTCTCATTTTAAGTATTTTTGTTGTAGGAATTCGTAGCATGGGTCATGCCTTTGTTTTATCTCCTGGTAAAGAAAAAGAGACTGCCTTACAAAGCATAAAAGCTGAATTCAAAGAGTGTACAGAAGTTATGTGTACATATGAAAACCACTTGGAATTACTTATGGGAACATTGCAGTTTGAAATGAAAGGTGAAATTTTAGATTTGTTTTCGATACTTTTTAAATTTTTTAATAATTTTTAATACTTGTTTTTTAAAAAATTTCTGCAGTAGACTATAGTGTGAACCTTGTTAGCTAAGTGTCAACTTTAATCACTGCTGCAAATAATTTCATTTTATTGTTGTCAAAAATATTATGTTAAATTTTCTAAATTGCTTCTGTATCTTTTTTTTATTCACGGAAATCAGGTGGGCTAGATTTTTGAGATTTGTTCAGAATTCATTGTCTGAATTCATGTTCAGAATTCATTGTTTCAGAAGCCATTGTCTGGTGGAACTGAGATTGTAGTGAATGCTATAATTTTTATACCGGGAGTACAAATAAGTCTCTGCTTTTTTTTAATCAAAAATTGCTCATTTATTTTGAAAGAGTAGAATGTTATGTTTTATTTAAAATATTGTCCATCACTAGCCATTACTTCCAGTCTTTCTGTCAGCAAATGGATACCGCATTGGCAAAATGCTTCATCTTTCAAGGCTATGCACAAATCAGCCCAATTTTTGGTATAATCATGTGATATGAAGTGTTGCTCATACAGGCCATGCATCATCATTCGACACGAGGCAGTCGGAAAGAGGTATGTCTTGTGAATACAGCTGGAAGGAGAAAACTTCTCATTTGAGTGTTTATGAAGTAGGTTTTGACTGGTGCCGCAACATGTGGATGAGAATTATGATGCAGAGAGTAATTTTGTAATGTCTGGAGTAGTTAATGAGTGCATTTATCTTTGGGTGCTCAGCTGAGTTTCATCAGTTGTCTTCGGTAGAGAGCCCCAGTAATGGTTTTGCTCGGTTTGAGTAATTCATGACACCAAGTTAATCCTACCATATACACATTATTATTATTATTATTATTATTATTTTGTGAATACTTGGCTTCTGAATCAATGTTGAAGCACAGTCAGGTGGTTTGCATGATTTCTTATTTGGGTTATTGTAGTGGATTTATTTTTCATCAGTAATTGACTAAAGGATGCAAAAAACCCTTCATGTAAGCCTGGCCGGCAGCATTTCTTATGTAAAAATCGGCCTTCTACATTTCTCAGCTTCAATTCGTATGGAGCTCAATTGCCTTGCTTTTGAATCATTCCCAGTGATTTTAAATTATGTGAAATAACTTGTTCAGAGTGTCCTAATGTGTGGTAAGTGTAGAAAGTATTTGTACAGAAAGTGTTATGATCTGAAAATGCCTCGTTAATAAAAACTATTAATAGGAATAATAAAATATAATTGAACATTTCCGTGTGAAATTTGCATGAAATAAATGTATGCATAAATATGACATTAACCAAACAAAAATAATCCATCATCTTGTGATATAAAAAGTATTCGTACATTATATGTAATGCTGAATATTTTCATAAAATATATTTAAATGAATACTTTGTAGGATATCCTTTAGTGTGAATAAATGCTTCAAATCTCTTTGGCATTGATCAATCAAATCTTAATGAGCTAGACATGGTGAGCCAGAAATGAGCTAGCCATAGACTCCCATTTTTATTTAAGAACAGATATTAAGTCATTTTTAATATAGGTGTGTCTGTATTTAACATTTTTATCAAGAATTTTCCTTAAATTCTCATTGGGATGGAAGTCAGGCGACTGAGGAAGAAATTTTCTAAACTTTGGGATGTTATGTAATATCCGGAGCCATGTATTTAGGGTTTTATATGTTTGAAGTCATTATTATGCATGAAAACATATTTAATATCCAAACCAATTTTTGTCATTCTATATATTATTTTTCAAAATATCAATGCCCCTCAGGGGGCTCACTTCTGTGAGTACGGGTGTGGCAATCCCGAGGTACCCTAGCCCTTCAGGGGATCATCTTCTTGATGAGACGGGTGTCACGATCCTGGAGCCCCAGTGATCTATCCTCTTTTCCGTCTCCTCTCCTCTTGGCTGGAACTTTTTCCCTTCTCTTCTCCCTCGTGGTTTCTCTCTACGGAGTTTGGGGCTCGTCACGAGAAACTGGAACAGCCCTTGTCTCTAGTCTTCGAGTGGCGAGAAAACTGCCCACGTGTTTGCCGTGCGTGGAGACCCGTGTCGCTGGAAAGGAGGGTCCTGGTAGTTGAGGGGCGAGGTACTGTCCCCAACACACTACTTTGGCCTCTGCTTCAGCTAAACGGGAGGCACCTTAGTCGTCCTCACGGGTGTCAATCGGGTGGTCACTAGTCCTTGTGTCAGTGGCTTGGGGTCAAGCTCTCGGGAGTACCTGCTTTAGGGAAAGCCGACTGTGGGGCTTCAGTTTGCATATAGGTCCGGCTAGCCCTAACACAGGAATCTGTGTTCCCTTGTTGGGCTCCGTGGTGGGCGGGGCCGTCGGACCCGAATCTTTATTCTTTCACTATGGCTTCTTCTCATATCTACTTAATTAAAGATTTCGAGGTAACTCCAGTCATTCAAACTAGTTCTGAAACGTCTACAGCTAAACCAGTCACTCAACCTAGCTCTGAACCATCTACTAATAAACCAATCATTCAACCTAGCTCTGAAACGTCTACTACTAAACCAGTCACTCAACCTAGTTCTGAAAATTCTGCAAAAAAATTACGGACAGATGCAAATAAAAAAAATCATCACAATAGTCCCCGTTTCCTAGTCATCTCTAGTCCTTCTGGCGAAATGCATAAGATGTCTCCTTTCGTAATAAATAAATACATCCAGTCTTCTATTGGTGAGCCGAGAAACATAAAGCGTCTCCGCTCCGGAGACTTGCTTATTGATACAAACTCAGCCACCCAGTCTGCTTCTTTACTTCAGATTACTAAACTTGGGCAAGCGAATGTCACTGTAACACCCCATAAGTCACTGAACTATTGTCGTGGTGTAATCTCAGAATTCGAGATCTGAAGAAGAGATCGCTTCTGAGTTATCCGAACAAAATGTCTGCGGTGTAAGGCGGATCAAGATGCGTAAAGAAGGTAAGTTGATAGACACGAAACACGTGATCCTTACCTTCAACACGCCTGATCTGCCTAAGAATATTAAGGCCGGATATCTAAATATTCCTGTAAGACCTTATATTCCAAACCCTATGCGATGTTTCCAATGCCAGTGTTTCGGCCATTCTAAGACATCTTGTCGTGGCAGCCTCACATGTGCCCGATGCTCACAGATTGGCCACGATTCTGATAATTGTACTGCTGCGCCTTTGTGTATAAATTGCAAGGGTGACCACCCAGCATTTTTTCGCTTGTGCCCAAAATGGAAATCGGAAAAAGAAACCCAGACTACAAAAGTTACTAGGAACATCTCTTACGCCGAAGCCAGAAGACTAGTCCAGAGCACACAGCTTCGACCAAATTCATCATACGCCAGTGCTGTTAAATCATCTCGTACAGTTGCCACCCAAACATCAATAGTACGCACAACAGACCCCTACCAAATAAAACCCAACCGTCTACATCCAACAAGAAAAAAGAAAATGCAACTCCATATTAGTACAAAAAAAAGAAACAGTTATTCAAAGTAAGCCGAAAACTGCCACACAAATTTGAGATAAACATTAATTAATAAAAATAGAAGTCGCAGCAATAGCTCTCTTGATGACATGATTTTCTGAATCTGTGCGGATTCAGACTAGTATGGAAGTAGAAGAGGGTCTGGAATTTCCCAGGCATCTACTTCCACGAAAAACAAAAGAACAGCACAGGAAAAACAAAAACCATTCATTATGGCCACCCTCGTGTCATGGAACTGTCGCGGTTTCCACCGAAATTTGCTTGACATCAAATCTATAATAAATGCGTACCATCCTGTGTGCTTAGCAATACAGGAAACAAATCTGAAACCAGAACACCATGCAAAACTTCGGAGGTTTTCTTTCGTCAGGAAGGATAACCTTGCAGGTGAGCGTGCCAGTGGAGGAGTAGGTCTCCTCTCCTCACTGGATTATCCCTCAAATGTACTTCCTTTGACGACATCCCTCCAAGTTGTCGCTACTCAAATAAATTTTGATATTGTTGTTTCATTTGTTCTTTGTATTTGCCTCCAAATGAGCACATTTATCAGCAAGATTTAAATAATCTAATAGAGCAGCTGCCTGAGCATTTTATTATAATAGGAGATTTTAACGGCCATAGTCCACTCTGGGGTAGCAAAGATACAAATTGCCGAGGAAGACAAATTGAGCAGATGATCGAAGATCACAGCCTTTGTCTCCTAAATAATGGGCAAGATACATACTTCCATGAGCCTTCAAGGACATTCCACGCTCTCGATCTTGCCATCTGTTCACCATCTCTGTTGCCATTTTGCACTTTTAGTGTCGGAAATGACCTGTACAACAGCGATCATTATCCTATTTTTGTGTCTCTTGCACGAAGAGGAGCAAACCCCATGTCGAGGATCCCCTCGATTCATATACTGGACAGGGCAGACTGGGAACTCTTCTCTTCCATTGCAGAGCTCACAGATGAAATGGTAGAAGATGTGCATATTGATGATGCTGTTGAAGCTGTTACTAATACTATTATTCAGGCAGCTATGCTCTTCCATTCCTAGAACATCAGGAAAAATACTAAAATATTCAAAACCATGGTGGAATCGCGACTGTCATGAAGCAACTGAAAAAACAGAAAAAAGCATGGGGTAATTTTTCGTAGATATCCTACTCTGCGAAACCTCATAGCTTTTAAAAGATCCAAAGCAAATGCACGGAAAGTAAGAAGGCAGAGCCAGAGGGATTCCTGGATTTCATGTGTGTCCTCAATAACATCCTCTACGCCTAGTAAGCGGGTTTGGGAAAGAGTTCGAAAAGCATGCGGAATGTATAAAGACCACTCACTTTCCTTTCTGGAAAAAGATGGCCGAGTGATTAGCTCCATAGAAGAAATTGCAAATACAATTGGTGAGACATTTGCTGCCGTTTCTTCCAGCCGAAATTACTCACCTGCATTTCTTTCTATCAAGCAACGCTCTGAGAAAATTCCCATCGCTTTCAACTCTTCCAACTTTGAGCCG